TCAGTTTCTGTAATTGGATCGAAAAACATAGCATTTTTATTTTTCATATGGTTGTTGAAAGTAGCATTAGTTGTATTTTTAATTTTGCTTGCTACTTTTGGTCCAATGTTAATAAAATATTCATTAAAAGTATTAGCTATTTCATTTGGATCAATTATTTTTTTGGAAGAATCTTCCATAATGAACTCTCTTGGCAGTTCTTTGGTTTTTTGTTTCCTATTAAGAACATTGTTTAAAGTTTTCAAAATCATATTAGAATTGTTTTTGTATCTAATTAATTGTTCCTCATAATATAATCTCTTTATCGTATTATATGATTTAATTTATTTTTGTACTCGTATGTTTTTTCATTTTTTCTACTTGGATTTTTCAAAAATGTTTTGTATAGTTTGTTTTTCCTTTTTACTGATTTTAGTATACAATTTGTCATCCATGGACTCTTTTCTTTATCGATATGTTTCTCGATTATTTTTTGTGGAAAATTTGTTTCAAAGGCCATCATGAACAATTTCAAGAACTCATTGAAGGCATCATCAGGGTTATTGCTATTAGTGAGAATTTTTGTCCACAATGTATTTTTCATGGCATTGATGAAAGATTTTATATTTTTATCATTAAATGTTCTCTTATAGTTAACATTAGTTTGAGGTAATTTCGGAGTTTCTTTGTAATTGTTCATATTACAAACATGTACAATAGGTAAATGGTCCGAGATATCGGTGAATATTGTTCCATTCATGCTATTATTGATTTTTTCAGTGTTATTGGTATAGATATTGTCAATAAGTGTTGCTGTGTGAGCAGTAATTCTTGTTGGTTTTGTTATAAGTGGAAAAAATGAGGAAGTAAAAAGTTGTTCAATAAATCTATTTGTAATTGTTTTTGTTTGTGGAAACACCACATAAATTTATTACTGCAAAGCTTTCGATCCCGGATCTTCATCAGTGCTAGTAATATGAGAAAACACAAAATAATAAAAATAAATAAATAATCAATAAATAATCTTTAATACATCTTATTAGCACTGATGAAGATCCGGGCTTTCAGATCGAAAGCTTTGCAGTAATAAATTTACGTGGTGTTTCCACAAACAAAAATAATTATATTTTTATCGCCATGCAAACATTCAAAGAACTTAAACCTACTTGTATAATCACAAGTTTCTGATTTGACCAAGTCAGTGTTAAAATCCCCCATAAGGTAGCAAATTTTGTTTTCTTTTCCAATCGTGCTTAATATATTATTGATTGCATTCTCAAATGATTCAATTTTGTTGTTGGGTGGTCTGTAAATCACTCCTATAATCAAGTTTTTACTGTTTGGTTTACTTATTTCGATAAACATCGTCTCAATTGAATCTTCTATATTTTCATTTAGGTCTTTACAGGTTTTATACTGTATGTCATTTGAAATATACATGCCTACTCCCCCGCCTTTTTTTGTTTGTTCTGTTAGATCCTATAAAATTATATTTGTTAAGTTCAAAGTTCTCACAATTTATGTCATTCAGCCAAGTTTCTGTCAGATCTGAAAGTGCTTATCCAACGAATCAAGTAAATGTTTAAAAGCATCAAATTTATTAGATATACTTCTTATATTTAGATGGAGCAAACTAAACTCAGATTCCTGTTTTAAACATGATAATTTGCTCTTAAATTCCATCGGCAAAAGATATTTACAGTCAATGTTATTAATAATGTCAAATAATGAATCTAAGTCATTGTTTCCGGAAAGCGCAATTTTGCTATTAGTTTGGAACGGGTTAAATTTCAAATGACTCAGTCTATCCATACCATAAATGTTGCAATCATCGTTTTGTGTTTTAAAATTATTATTTGTAAGACTGTGAAAAGGGAAGGGATGATTATTATTTGTGTTTTCTATACTAGTCATTGTAGTTAATATAAATAAGGATACAAAGTCCAATGAAATACGATACTTTGTATTAGCATCATGTTGCCGGCTTGTAAAAAATCTGTCCCTCAATAATAAGTTTGTCCTTAACCAGTTTCGCCTTTTTACCCACATCTCTTGCCTTCTGTAGCTCTGGATATAATTAACTCCTTGTGTATTTTCAGAATCTCATCAGGAAACTGTTCACCAATTCCTATTTTTATTCCTTTCAGTTTTCTTGCATTTTCTAGCACTCATTCGTGGTCGGGATAAAAATTAAATTTGGCGACAATTGGATGCGGCTTCGTTGCTCCAAATCTCTGGTTTCCAAGTCTGTGGGATCTATCGATCTTCACTTCCCTTGCTGCATTCTCCATGCCCAATTTATGTTCCATAATTTGATGAATTATATTTGTAGTGTTCTCATCCTTGTTTTCGTCTATGTTATAAAACACTAAGTTGTCACGCATTGACCTTGTTTTAAGATCAATGATGCTCTTGTGTAAGATTTCATTTTCTTTCTCCAATTTTTCTATTTGTTGTTTCGTTAGCTCGTCCGTTTTTTTGTGTTCTTCGTTGTCGCTTTTCAAATCATTAACTTAATGCTCATATTCTATTGAATCTTTCATACTTCTCAGCTCTTGCTCGACTGCATGACTTCACTTTAGTTTCAATTTGTCTAGCTTTCTCGTATTTTTCATCACAACCATAATATCCTTCAACTCTAATTGTTCTTCGGTTTCTATTTCGTCCTCCTGGTTCTTATCATTATGTTTCAAGTCTTTTGCTTTAGTCGCTTTACTGGGCGAACTATACTTGAATTATTTCATTTGTGCGCAGTGCACTTAGCAGCGTGTCGTCCAGTGGCCATCTTGTCTCCAACATCCTTGTGTTCCAAGGTGATGTACTATGTACTATACTGTATATTCTCCTCACATGATATAAATACATGAGTTGTCTATATTATCAGGTGTAGAAGGGTTTGATTGGTTTTGTAGTCAAAGCTTCATTAAGCAAGATAACCAAAAAATTGTTCATTTTTAATAAAGATGCACACTCCATTTGAGTATTTGTTTCATTGAAATAAGATTACATAAAATTAAAAGATAGTTGCGGCAGAAGTTTGTGTAATAATCTCAAAAATATTCGCATTCAATGGCTGTTTAATGGAAATGAAATAATACTTAACTGTAATTTAATATTAAGTAACTTTAACTAACTGGAAAACATTTTTTTGTATTTATAGTGCTATAGAGGTGAAAGGAAATGTTATTATGGAAATACATTCATTGAAGATGATGAAGTAGTAGAAGGACACCTGGACAGAGTTTATTCTCATAAATCAGTTAAGGCTGGTAGTTTCCCGGTCATGTATATACCAATACATATGCCCACATACAAACAACCCAAATATCATCCCCATATACTAATAAAGAAGGGTCTTTGAGTCCACCAACCTTGAGGAGATTTAGAGGTTGATTGCTTTTTTAGTATATGCAGGTTTGGTAAATGTCAACAGTGAGATTGAAAATTATTGGAGTGTAAAAACCTTATATCATGGTCTGTGGGCAATAGAAATCATTTCTCGGTTTAGGTACAAAGCGCTTATGGCATTTCTGAATATGGTAGATCCTGTCACTGAAGACTACAGCAATAAGCTGCATCAACAACTGTACCAGCCATCACAGAATACTGCTGTTGAAGAACACACTGTCAAATCAAGGAATGAATTAGGCAGTTCATGAAAGATGGCCTACTATGTGGGGGATAAATCTGTGGGTTGCTGCAGACAGTCCTAATGGTTATATTGCGACTTTGAGATTTATACAGGAAGAAGTCCAGAGATTCATCGCAGCATGGATTTGGATATGACGTGGTGATGTGATATAAGTTTGGTTACAGTCTTGGGTCTTTTGTGGTCCAATATATATTTTGTGCAAAAAAAGGAAATATTTTCACCACATAATCCAATTATGTGCCTTGGGAAACATTACTGTCTTGGAAAACATTACTTTTTTATAACTACTAATGATGACGCCAGCCAAACAACACTTGGTCGAGCTATATGCAAATATTTTCATGTTCATGAGTAATGATTATTTAAAATTTGAATAGCATGACCAAATTTTCAGGCTGGTTATGCCACTGATAACTAAGTCAATGGTGTACTGATTATCTAAGAATGTATATAGTAACCGTAGAAATAAAGACATTTTCCAAATAGTATGTTCTTTTGTGGCTATCACAGACTTATTTTCATGCCATACTTATCCTTGGAGAGTAAGAAATATTGGAAATTTGTATTGATAATATGTTGCAGCAATGCGAAAGTACCTTTGATAAGGGTATTTGTTTCATGTGAGCACAAAATGTAAATTTAACTGAACTACATAGTTTATATAAAAATTCAATAAAAATACTTCCATTTATGCTACATGAAACTTCAGGTACTTGTAGATTACAACCGTGTCTTTCAGTTACATTCGTAAAATTTTTGACATATTTGAAATTTGGACTGGTAGATGCATTTATGCATAATTGCAACATTCCTTTATATCATAATTTATGCGAGTAAATCGTTAACCAAGCTCCAGGACAAAATTGAAATTGGTATCATTGGAAGGCAGAAGTCCTCCTCTTTCGAACGATGCAATTTCTGATTCCGTATGATGTATAGGTTGAAAGATATATGCATGTAAAACAACAACACTCAAAATTGCTACTTTTCGACTGGATGAGAATCAGTTAATAACATTGAACAAATTACAAGTGAAACGAGTTCCCTATCTGGACTATCTAGTGAACAAATATTTACGGAATATGTGCACTGTTTCGAAGGACTTGGACGGGTATCTGAACCCTATCATATCAAAGTTAACCCCACCATCACTCCTGTCGTTCACGCCCCCGCCTTGGAAATGACCTGCATCTCTTAGAGACAGATTTCATCACGAACTGTCGACCATGGAACCGAAGGGGATAATTAAAAAAGAAGATGGCCCTACTGAAAAACTTTAGACAATGACGACAAGATGGCATTCGAGAAACACACATTAAAGCACACTGCGCAAACTTTAGTTAATTCATTGAATAATACACCCATTCAGTCAAACACAACTAAAATTCTGAAATATAATAGCACACCAAATATGATGGAAGAAAATAAAAGTGGTGAAAAGATGAAACTTGAAGATATTCACGAAATGATGATGATGAAAAGGTTGGACAAGCTCAACGTAATCGAAGACAAGCTTAAAACTTTGAACATGATATCAAAGAAGTAAAAAGATCTGTCGAATTTGCTCACACAGATATAGACAACCTTAAGACCGACAAACAAACACACAAAGCAACCACTGAAGATACGAAGCAAAGGCTACAAAATTTGGAGAAGGAAAATATTATCCTGAGAAATAGCATCAATGATTATGTAAGGTCAATGCACGATAATCTCATTTTTTTAACATACCCAAAACGGACAAAAATAATACAATGCAAATTGTTCATGAGCTATTGGAAACAAGATGGAAATGAAAGACGCTTCGACTCGGATAAAAATTGACCGGTCTCACAGGCTAGGAAAACAACAAAGCAGCAGACAAACCACAATTGCAAAATTCAACTACCACCAGGACAAAGAGGCCGTTCGTCTGAATGCAAAGAAACTTAAAGGAATGAGGATTGGGGTGGCCGAACAATATCCTGAAGAAATAGAGAAACTCCGGAAAAGTTTGTATCCTGACCTTAGAAAAGCTAAAGCTGCTGGTAAAATGACAAATATAGTAAGAGATAAACTGATTATTGATGGTGCTGTTTTCAATCTGTCGTTAAAGTAATCGTTTCATATTTCACTTGTACCTGAACCTACAGTATCCCTTATTTGTCATTGTTCCAATTTTTAATCTTGAATGGTTAAACATGTCTAATACAAATAACATTGATAGCAAATGTTGTTCTTGTTTAAAAGAAATTGGTAACCAAAATATCAGTAAAATGTATCAACTGTCATAGGTGCTTTCATGGTACCCTGCAGTGCATGAAAACACTTGACACTGACATTCTAATGCACATATCATCTGCTTCCCTGTGGGATCAACCCCCGGGCACCGGGGGGATTGTAAAAGCTTTGAGACAAAGTTGGTAAATATCCTGTGGTGTGGGGTAAATACGACAATCAAAGTCCTCTGGTTTAGATTTTCTCAAACAGACAATCCTCCTGGTCAAAGAAAAAACCAAGAAACTTTCTATGAGAACATTTACATGTAACGTAAAAGCTATCACAATGAAATAAAGATCATTGCATTTATAATGGATAAATGCAA